TAAGATGTTCTAGGAATTGATCAAAACGGCACCGCGGCTGTAAATTCTGGCCGCTGGAATCCAAAGCTGAATGTTGCAACAGTTCTAGAAATTGATCAAAATGGCACTACGGCTGCAAGATATGGCCGTTGGTTTTGGAAGCCGCACGTTAAGATGCTCTAGGAATTGATCAAAACGGCACCGCGGCTGTAAATTCTGGCCGTTGGAATCCAAAGCTGAATGTTGCAACAGCTCTAGAAATTGATCAAAATGGCACTACGGCTGCAAGATATGGCCGTTGGGTTCGGAAGCCGCACGTTAAGATGCTCTAGGAATTGATCAAAGAGGCACCGCGGCTGTAAATTCTGGCCGCTGGAATCCAAAGCTGAATGTTGCAACAGCTCTAGAAATTGATCAAAATGGCACTACGGCTGCAAGATATGGCCGTTGGTTTTGGAAGTCGCACGTTAAGATGCTCTAGGAATTGATCAAAACGGCACCGCGGCTGTAAATTCTGGCCGCTGGAATCCAAAGCTGAATGTTGCAACAGCTCTAGAAATTGATCAAAATGGCACTACGGCTGCAAGATATGGCCGTTGGTTTTGGAAGCCGCACGTTAAGATGATCGAGGAATTGATCAAAACGGCACCGCGGCTGTAAATTCTGGCCGCTGGAATCCAAAGCCGAATGTTACAACAGCTCTAGAAATTGATCAAAATGGCACTACGGCTGCACGATATGGCCGTTGGGTTCGGAAGCCGCACGTTAAGATGCTCTAGAAATTGAATAAAACGGCACCGCGGCTGTAAATTCTGGCCGCTGGAATCCAAAGCTGAATGTTGCAACAGCTCTAGAAATTGATCAAAATGGCACTACGGCTGCAAGATATGGCCGTTGGTTTTGGAAGTCGCACGTTAAGATGCTCTAGGAATTGATCAAAACGGCACCGCGGCTGTAAATTCTGGCCGCTGGAATCCAAAACTGAATGTTGCAACAGCTCTAGAAATTGATCAAAATGGCACTACGGCTGCAAAATATGGCCGTTGGTTTTGGAAGTCGCACGTTAAGATGCTCTAGGAATTGATCAAAACGGCACCGCGGCTGTAAATTCTGGACGCTGGAATCCAAAGCTGAATGTTGCAACAGCTCTAGAAATTGATCAAAATGGCACTACGGCTGCAAGATATGGCCGTGGTTTTGGAAGCCGCACGTTAAGATGTTCTAGGAATTGATCTAAACGGCACCGCGGCTGTAAATTCTGGCCGCTGGAATCCAAAGCTGAATGTTGCAACAGCTCTAGAAATTGATCAAAATGGCACTACGGCTGCAATATATGGCCGTTGGTTTTGGAAGCCGCACGTTAAGATGATCTAGGAATTGATCAAAGCGGCACCGCGGCTGTAAATTCTGGCCGCTGGAATCCAAAGCCGAATGTTACAACAGCTCTAGAAATTGATCAAAATGGAATTACGGCTTCACAATATGGCCGTTGGGTTCGGAAGCCGCACGTTAAGATGCTCTAGAAATTGATCAAAACGACACTACGGCTGCAATATATGGCCGTTGGTTTTGGAAGCCGCACGTTAAGATGCTCTAGAAATTGATCAAAACGGCACCGCGGCTGTAAATTCTGGACGCTGGAATCCAAAGCTGAATGTTGCAACAGCTATAGAAATTGATCAAAACGGCACTACGGCTGCAAGATATGGCCGTTGGTTTTGGAAGCCGCACGTTAAGATGCTCTAGAAATTGATCAAAACGGCACCGCGGCTGTAAATTCTGGACGCTGGAATCCAAAGCTGAATGTTGCAACAGCTCTAGAAATTGATCAAAACGGCACTACGGCTGCAAGATATGGCCGTTGGTTTTGGAAGCCGCACGTTAAGATGCTCTAGAAATTGATCAAAACGGCACCGCGGCTGTAAATTCTGGACGCTGGAATCCAAAGCCGAATGTTACAACAGCTCTAGAAATTGATCAAAACGGCACTACGGCTGCAAGATATGGCCGTTGGTTTTCGAAGCCGCACGTTAAGATGCTCTAGAAATTGATCAAAACGGCACCGCGGCTGTAAATTCTGGACGCTGGAATCCAAAGCTGTATGTTGCGTCAGCTCTAGGAATTGATCAAAACAGCATCACGGCTGCAAAATCTGGCCGCTGGTTTTAAAATCCGCGCATGGAAAAAAGCTCAAGGAATTCATCACCGAGACATCAAGGGTGAAAGATATATAGAGATATCGATTGTCCTTTAACGGGGACTATGGCCATCATGTGCGGTTATCGCATCCCAACGGCCAGCACCAACCAAATGTAACTCTAAGAGTGTAAGTCCATGAGATTCCTCAGAACACCGTTGAACCACGCGACAGAAGGCCTTGGGGGGAACGAGGGGATCCACGGAGAAAGAAGAGAAGAGGAGGAAGGTCAGATCTGCCGAGAAAACCACCCACCGCATCAATTGATGACCATTGATGGGCATGCTGCAAAATATCACTTCCCTGTCTTTAACTATCTTGAATTATGGGGAGATACTAATTAGGGGCAAATCGTGTTCGAAGTTGTCTATTGATGAGGTGTGTAGTACGATTTTTGGTTGAAATTGGTTAATGATGGTTCAATGACCAGGATGGGTCAATGATTGGTGGAGGTTGGTGATTGATGGTCTTAACTATCATTGATTCAGGTAAATGTTGGAGATACAAGTTGGAACAGAAATTGTTCCGGTTGATTCTGTGTTGAACCAAAGCATACAGTATTAGAGCTTTAAGAAGCGGTCTGGTAGACTAAATTGGCGACAACGCTGGGAGGGTTCATCACTGATAAGCCAAGCCCTCCCGATATTTTTTCATCGCAGTAAGGACAGTAGAAGTTTGTTTTACATTCAAAAGAGACATTCGTGTTTTAATGCTTCCATTTATTATATATAAATGGCACGCCTTATAATTAGTCAACCTAGTAGTTTGTAGCCTTTTTAAAGGTTAGAATGTTCACATTTATCAAAGAACCTTTTTTAAAGTCTACAAATAAAAAGTCTTCTTTTGGTTCAACTCTTGACTATCTATCGAACTAATATATTGTAACGTAGGCTCGACTGATTTGTCGTAGAATTTTGTTTTCACAAATTTCTAGCTGTTTCTTGTATTCGACGAGCTGCTGGGATTCAACTTGGGCAGGTCAGAATTGGCCGAATCATGGTTCTGTAGGTTTGGACTTTATTTTTGAAACTCAACAAATTTCTACCAATGAATGTTATAAGTCTGCTCTGAGCCAGAGTTGTTTGTCGTCGTGTCCAATGAATAGTCTCAGATGTTCCCATGCATCTCTATCACAGCAGTCACAATGTCCACTATCTTGGGTGTGTAAAGCTGCTGCTCTGGGTCCATGTCAATTTTCTGTTGTTGTTGTCGTGTCCAATGAATAGTCTCAGATGTCCCCATGCATCTCAATCACAGCAGTCACAATGTCCACTATCTTGGGTGTGTAAAGCTGCTGCTCTGGGTCCATGTCAATTTTCTTTTGTTGTTGACGTGTCCAATGAATAGTCTCAGATGTCCCCATACATCTCAATCACAGCAGTCGCAATGTCTACTATCTTGGGTATGTAAAGCTGATGCTCTGGGTTCATCTCAATTTTCTGCAAGGTTGCGGTCATTGCTGGGCATGAGAATATGCGGGTAAGTAATAGTTCCACACCAGGACAATTGTTTGTTTTCATGATTTACTATATAACATGATATTTATAGCTTAGACGTCAGTCAAGTATTACACCCAGGTATTTAACTTGCTTGCCCCATCAAATGGAATGGTTAAAGAAGCGTACCATTTGGATAGCTGGGATATATGGTAAGATGATGACCCGCGTCTTTTCTGGGTTTATTCTGACTCTCCCGGTTTTGCACACATCATTTCACAATTTCTTCTTCAAAATAAATATATTACAGCCCCTTTCATATAAAAAGTATCCAATATACATAAATCTTAAGAGTGTGCAAAAGAAAAAAATGATTTCTTTATTTTCAAATTGCTATTTATTTACTCTCTATATTTTAGTAAAGGAGTGCAAAAAAAAAAAAAAAGAGAATACATAGTTAATTGTTAGATAATAAAAAGGCATATATTGGATTAAAAAATATTTAATTGCCAATATTTCGGTTGGCTCAACGCCAAACCTTTATGTCATTACAAAAATGTAACGCCTTGATAAAGGTTTGGCGTTCAGCCAATAGAAATATTAGCAAAAATATATTTTTATACAATCCAATATATGACTTTTTATTATCTAATCATTTAAATATGGATTGCTTTATTTTCAAAACAATAGTTAATTGTTTGATTAATTACCTTATTATATCATTTGGTTTGCCTTCTCTGATTTTTCTACGTAAAAATGTATTCATTTGTGTTTTTGTGTGAATTTTATTCAAAATGACTTGAATTTCAGTTTAAATATTCTAGAATCAGCTTTATTGAGAATTTCTTCAACCACATACCTAATCAGTAAACATAACTGAACAATTTGGTGTTTAAGATAGATTTTAAGGTGAAAACAATAGGCTTCCAGGGATAAGTTTTTCTTTTAAAAAATAATTCAGATCTTTAACTTTCGGGCATGAAAACCCTTCTACAGAAGAAAACACGATACAATAATATTTTAAAAAATAAACTTATTCTCTGAAAACGCCTGATATTGTCACCTTCATATTGATTGTTAAATCATTTTATTCGCGATCTAACGTTGTACTGTACGTATTACATCCCAAACACGACGTCAGCCATCTCTGTCTTGAGCTCGATGTACCATAATAACATTCTTCCTTGCTTTTACATTTTTAACTAAATCAATATGGGATATATTTTTGTAAATATATTTATAAAACGAAAATTGAAATTATACCGCGAATGTTTCTTTTATAAAAATTGAAATTTATTTTCAAAGAGAAATAGCGACATTTCTAACTTTGAGGATGAGGTATGGAAAGGTGAAACATGAAGAGTAATGGCGAACGGAAAAATAAAAAGTGTCCAGGGGCGGGAATCGAACCCACACCCTTCTGCTTACCGGGCAGGTGCCTTGAAGGGTGTGGGTTCGATTCCCGCCCCTGGACACTTTTTATTTTTATTTTTCCGTTCGCCATTACTCTTCATGTTTCACCTTTCCATACCTCATCCTCAAAGTTAGAAATGTCGCTATTTCTCTTTGAAAATAAATTTCAATTTTTATAAAAGAAACATTCGCGGCATAATTTCAATTTTCGTTTTACAATCATCAGCCGCGTTATATTGTATTTTAAATATATTTATGATTATCTTTCAAACCTGAAAGGTTCAGGTTCCTAATATATATTATTGTTTCTCTTTTTTATTTTTAATTACTTTTTCTTGTATAATATGTTTATAACTTGAGTCAAAAGGCGATCCATTAATTAAGATTATATAAAAGGGCGTACCTGGATAACGAGGGAGCAATCTCTCGAAATATTTTAAGAAAAAAATTGTTTTTTTTCTTTACAGATCCAGGTACGCCCTTTTATATAATGTTTATAACTGTTTCTGTTTAAAAAAAAAAAAGTAAATCGACGCAATTATCCCTAGCCGGGATATCGCGTTTTGTGTGTTGAAATAAATAAATATGGGATCTAAGGCTTGGTTTTTCATGAAAAGGAATCAAGCCTTAGATTTCTTATTAATTTAGTTAAAATATACCATAATATTGATATATGGAATTATTCTATTGAATTATGAAGATAGACTTTGCTAAAGTGACAACGAAAGCTTGATGTCGAGTTCTAAGCTGCTTCACGCCGACCAATGCAGTGGAAAAGAAGATACTGGATAATAAATTATTCAGGAATCCATTCCGCCATACTGGAGCGACTCAATTATTCATGACGATGTCATTCCGACATTCTGCTCCCTCTTGTGTTATCCCCTGCAGAAATCACATTACTCTGATTTACTGGGGCATCAACGGTGCACGTGCTTCCTTCCTTCCTTCCTTCACGGTAATGAATTCTATGGCATTCCCCCAAATATCCATATTTTACATGGAGATTCAAGATATAAAGATGATTTGCTTTCTACTATATCAATTATTTAAAAAAATAAGAGAATGTATAAGAGAAGAGGTGACGCTTTTTTTTAATAAAGTGAAATAAAAGGATCTTCCTAGCATGCTATTTTATAAGTAGAATTTATTAATAATATAAAGAGGAAAAGAACGCTAATCTAGATTTTTCTGAAAAGGAAGAGAGGGATTGGGATTCAAAACTACTTTTATTACTCCGTTCATATAGGATTATATGAGTTAAATATAAAATAAATTATATTATATAATGATAAACACATGAATAAATAGATGATATATATATTAAAAGGCATCTTTTTTAGATCAAAAATAAAATAAAACATTTTATTTATTATAGAATCCAATATTTCGCTAGGCTATACGCCTATCTTCATCTATATATTGGGTTGATGCAAAAATAATGACCGATTTTCTAGTGACCACTAGCAATAACTCGTTACAAGCAAACCTTTATTAATCAAAATAAAACCATTGGCATCGATACATCTTTGCCAACGAGAGCTGGTATATTCCAGTTTTATAAAAATCTGGAGTTCTAATATATGGGTTTTAGGATGTATTCCGACAGATGGCACAAGCTATCAGCAACTTTCAGTACTTTTCAGTATTCAGGAAATATACATTTTCCTTCATTTAACTACTTAATGCCATTACAATATCACTTTTATACTATTCTTTCATGAAATGGGTCAGGTTTTAGAACAGAATAAAATTGTTAGGTTGTGAGTGTTTTCCCATTATCCACCTGTTAATTTATTTGGTTGAAGAAACGTACCTACAGCCTGTCCATAAATATAAATACCATAGGATCATGTACGGGGCTCTTCACCTTATCTACGAATGTCCGAACTTTACAGAAGTGAGACATCGTTTGTTCCCTGATTAAATCATTTAACACTTCTTTGAGGACGGACGATTCCGCAGTTGCATGGTCAACTGGGCCGTATGAAAATCGAGTTGTTTAAAAAAATAATAATAAATAAAAACTTAAGAAATACAAGAAGGTATGGGACAAGATCCCGGTGGATGCGAATTCATGTCGGTCTTTGGTAATTTTATATTTAATTTTGAAAATCGAGGATGCGAATTCGCGTCTTTCGGGTCGAAAGTGTTAACTTTCTTACATCTGTCACACTTTGTCTATATAAATTTTATGAACTCTGTCGAATAATAGATGTAAATTTGTAAATATTTAATTCTATGTTATAAGTTTGTTTGTTGTTTTGTGTGTTTCCTCTGTATTAGGCGCAAATATTTCAATATCGCGCCTGGTTGATTAATAAAAATATATTTAAATATATAAGGCGATAACCCCTGCCATCTATATATATAAGAAATGGAAGTATTCAAGCACGAATGTCTCTTTTTTTCAAACACAAAACAAACTTCTACTGTCCTTACTGCGATGAAAAAATATATTGGGAGGGCTTGGCTTATCAGTGGTGAACCCTCCCAGCTCTATCACCAATTTAATCTACCAGACCGCTTCTTGAGCTCTAATACTGTATTGGACGATTCTGCTTATACACGCTGCAATGACGTGTGGAATCTTAGAATAGTATTTAAGAAAACTATCGACATAAGCTTTTAGGACAGCAGAATTACATATAAATATTTAAAAAATATGCATATATTGTATTTATAATTATTTTATTGTTCCAATATTTCGAGGGGCAATTCGCCTCTCTTTATCGAGGATGTTTGTGTTTTTTTCACTAAAACATATGAGCACACGTACACCACTCTCGTTCTACAAGGCCAATGAAAGAATTGTATCTTTGATTTAAACATTACATTCAGTATATATATACAGCTAACAATTATATATAATATTACAGATCAATACCATTATTATTATTTTGTCTACATATTGTGCGTGAAAGAGAGATTTATATACAACAGTGTAATTGTATTTTGTGTGTATATATATTAATTCTTAAATTAATGATAAAATTTTAAAAGCAAAATAAATGAGTAAATTAAAAGTATGTACATAGTTATTTTCAAATAATTAAGATATGAATTCTTTATAAATTTCTGGAAAATCAAATTTTCTGTTATATAAATATTTTATAAAATAAATGAAGCTTCCAGGGTTAAGTTTCTTGTGCAACTTTTTATTTTCAAACTTTCGGACTTGTCAGTCCTTTAACAGGATTATCACTTTAACAACTTAATAATAAATACTATTTTTATATACACATTATTATATACATATTTTAAATACTTATTATATATTGAGAGAAAATATATTACATTATTTCTGTTTGAAACAAACGTTCTTTCCTGATTTATAATATTATAAAATAAATAAAGCTTCCAGGGCTAAGTTTCTTGTGCAACTTTTCATTTTCAAGTTTTCGGACTTGTCAGTCCTTCAACAAGATTATCACTTTAACAACTTAATAATAAATACTATTTTTATATACACATTATCATATTTTGAAAATATAGCAATCCATACTTAAATCATTAGATAGTAAAATGGCATATGTTGGATTGAATAAAAGGTAATGTAAAAAAAAAAATGTAATGCCTCGATTAAGGTTGGCGTTCAGCCAGCCGAAATATTGGCAAATAAACCTTTTATTCAATTCAACATTTGCCTTTTTACTATCTAACACATTATTATATAGAACGATGTTAGACAAATTTTACCGCAAATGTTTCTTTTAAACTAAAAATCGCAAATTATCTCAAGGAGAAAAAACGACCATTTACAACCTTAGGGATGAAGTATGAAAGGATGAATTGTGAAGAGTGATGATGAACAGAAAAATAAAAGTGTCCAGGGGTGGGATTGTATTATACATTATTATATAATTATATAAATATTTGCATAGAGCAACGATCTTCCGCCATGTATACACCATGTTCTCCAGAGACTATCGTATGGCCATGGGAACATGTGGACTACGGGACAGATGGAAGTCTCCGCCATCTTTAATTTGGAGAACGGCGCATCTGTCAGGTCCCTGGTGGCACTAAGCTAATCAACCGGCCGCTCCCTCATCTGGTGCCGCAGCTGGACCCTACTGCTGGGACAACTAACTCTGTGTCTGTATATGTACTTCCTGGTCCCACAATAACTTTACTAGGTACCGCTCAGAAACCTAGCTTATGATATTTACAACAATGAATACTATTGTAACACAGTATTTATTAATTTTATTATTTTTTTATTAGCAGAGTGCTCATTTTTATGTTTATACTAGCCGAATGACCCGGGCAACGCCCGTGTTTAACCCGATTGAATGTTTTGATTCAAATACTATTTGTTACAATTATAAATTGGCGCCTTATATAAATGCATATGTTAGTTAATAACTATAGCCTATGTGCTTTATCTGACTATGTACTGTTGGCTTCCGTAGGCGTCTCTTACTGGGAAAAAGAAAGAGAGGATTCCATTTGGTTATTAACTAATATATGCATTTATTTAAGGAGCGACCCGCTCCAACACGATGGTTAGAAAAACGAAAAAGCGAGTAGGGGGCATGATGGGGGGGCAAAGGTGGCGTGATCGTAGCCGACCAATAGGAGGGCGCCATTCCAAAAAAAAAAAAAAAGCAAACGGTGACAGAGATGACTGATGAAGAATGACGCCCGTAACTGTATATAGAATTTTGCTACTCTGTAAATTTCCCTCGTGGTTTATCTTTTGTTTAACATTCATAGTTGGTTCTTGCCTGAAATAAATTGCTGTCTTATCCAGAAGTTGGTCTTCCCTAATTTTCAACGTGGCAATATAGTTCTTTAAATTAAAGATACTGTGGCCAGTAAATCTTTTTATTATCTCGACGTTTCGACAAATATCTTTTCTCCTCGTCAGGAGCGAATAAAAATTAAAACATTTGACAAAGCGTTTAAAATTATTCTATTATTGTTATTTATCTGATATATATATATTTATCAGAATAATTTTTAACGCCTTGCTAAATGTTTTAATTTGTGTTCGCTTCTCATGGGGACAAAAGATTTTTGTCGAAACGCCGAGGTAATAAAGATTTACTGGCCGAA